GCAATCCTTGAAAGTGGCGACAGTTTTGCACATCGCAGCCCCCCAGGGATGGGGAGGGTTAAAATATGTCCGCGCATGGCGACACTGTGCCCCCTCCACCCCCCCAGGCATGCCCCGAACGTGGCGACAGTGTCGCAGCAGATCGTAGCACCCCGGGGTCGGCGAGGTTCAATATGAGTCCGCGCGTGGCGTCACTGTGCTGCCCCCCCCGCCCCCAGCAGTCCTCGAAAACGGGGGCAAGTTCGCAGATTGCGGCCCCCCAGGGATGGCGAGGTTTAGCCTGAGTCCGCGTATGGCGACGCTGTGCTGGCCCCTGCCCCAGCCGCCCTCGATAATGGCGACGGCTTTGCAGATCGCAGCCCCCCAGGGATTGCAAAGTCAAGTCTGAATCAGCGCATGGCGGCACTGCGCCCGCCCTCCCCCCAATACCCACAGAAAGTGGCGACGGTTTCGCAGATCGCAGCCCCCATGCGCTGGCGAATTCTATTGAGGGTCCGCGTATGGCGCTACTGCGTTGGCCCACCCAACGGTTCTTGAGAGTGGCGACAGGTTCGCATATCGCAGCCCCCCCAGGGATGAGAGACAGAGAGAAAGAGAGAGAGAGAGAGAGAGATGAAGGAGGGAGGCGGCGAGGAGGGACGGGACCCCAGCACCTTATTCAAAACGAGACCCCAACAACGAAGTTCCGGAACGCGTGCAATTTCGCACGGGATGTCCTCCTAAACATCAAGCCCCGACGCACAACGTACATCTGCTTGGCGGCAGCAGTGGCCTCTCGCGCAGCAGGAGGGCAGCGCGCGGCCGCGGTACAGCACGCGCACAATACACGCACGCATCGCACACCGCACACAGACCACACGCATCGCAGGCACGCGCATGTTCATGATTCGCACAGCACTCCTACAGCACACGCGCACGCACAGACCACACGCCACACAGCGCACACGCACACACGCTCACACACGCGCGCAGCACACCACGCCCCACACAATCAACACACCTGACGCCCTCTTGCTCACACACATGCGCGATACACCCAACGCAGAACATGCCTAACACACAATGGCCACACATCAGTAACATTTGGCACGCACACATACAACGCAACGCTTGCACTCAGCACAACACACATATCGCACACCCTACGCACCACCCACACAACCCTCAGATTTTTTGTGCATGGGGCCCGCACGTGCAATTTGTATATCCACCATCCAAAATCCCAGCGCAGTATAGCATTGCAACATGCCCGATGACTGAACATGCCTCATGACATGGCGTACGAGTGCAGGGCCGCACTGGATAACATCTAAATCTAGACGACCGTAACCTACCGATCATGGAATCTCTGGTGTTGTTAAGCCGTGCACCGCCATACACAACACATGGGTGACACTGTCAAACCGCACCATGGTATATTCAACGATATGTGGGCATGCCAGAGCATGACTCAACACATCATGCGAACCCATGGTCTACCATCACGTGGCTGAGTCTAATGCAACATAGTTGGATGGAGGGGCAATGCAACACAACATAACCTGTCATCGTTGGGCGAATGTTGACAACGCGAAATCTAAGAACGGGTGGTACCACAACAGAGTATGACATAACCACAGGCCGTAATAGTATATTCACTTGTTTTGGCGAAGGGCCTAACCACATGCAGTTCCGAAGACCGCCATTGTGAGTAGCGCTTTCGGCGGAGCCCCCACGAAGCACGAGGGTATGTCGAAATGGTTGGGGCAGCCGCCTGTAGACACCGTCATTGGGTCCTTCGGTGGAGCACCCATGGGGCCACGAAACATGCCAAGGGTGTGCCGAAGTGGGCGGGGCGGCCGCATTTGAAAATGGCCGTTGGGGCCTTCGGTGGGGAGCGGAGCACGAAACGCATGAGGGTTGTGCCAGAATGGGTTGGGCGGGCTCATGCGGGCTGCTCCACTGGGACCTCCGATGGAGCTTCCGTATGGCGCCACGAGCCGTGTGAGCGGCGCGCCGAAGGGGGGTGGACGCGTGCGGGCTGCGCCTTTGAGACTTTCGATGGAGCCCCTGTGGGCCCACGAAACGTGTGTGGGGTGTGCCCGACTGGGTGGGGCGGATACGTACGGGCTGCGTCCCAGGGACCCTCGGTGGAGCTCTCTATGGGGCCACGAAACGTGTGAGGGGTGTGCCGAAATTGGCAGAGCGGGTTCATGCGGGCTGGGCACTGGGACGTTCGGTGGAGCTCTTTTTGATGGAGAGGGGTGTGCAATAACCGTTTGATTATTCAACATACGGGGGACAGAGGCAAGGATGGCAGGAGGGAGGAGGCGGAGGAGAGGAGTGATGTGGGGCGCTGTCTCTTCACGTCGAAGACCCAGCATCAAACGATGTTGGGGAACAGAACATAGTACAGCATATGGGGTCCATAGTATCGTAGAAACGCTCACCCCTACAAAACAGCTCGTTTAACACAATAAATTAGATTAGAACACATAGAGACGAGGGTATAACAGGCATGTGGCCGAATGGAATCAATCACCATGGAATTCTTCACGCTTCGCGTATCCCCACCAGCCATTGTTGTTCGAGTTTCCACTGACAAGGTCCCCGTTGTCGCAGACTGCGTCTGGGCATCGCGGTTACTTGGTTCTGACAGCTTGCGGCTATCGACGTTTGGCGGCTGGCGTGGTATTGAGTACCCGTTCGCCCACTCGCGGCAAGCACTCGAAGCACAACGAGGCCATGGTGGTCACCGACCCGGTCCTGCACCTCTGAGCTGCGTCGCTTGCGTTTCTCTTTCTCGCTCCGTTCGTCGTTCTTCCGGCCTCTTCGTTCTTCCGCTTTCTTCGCAATTCTTCATCGCTCGAGTCGCTCTCATCCGCTCCGCTTCGTTTTCGCCGCTCTTGCGCAGCCGCTGCGTTGTGTGGTGGCCCGTTTTTCCCCGTCTGGCCGGCGACAGTTGCGTTGTGCCCTCGGGCCTTCGCTCGTAGCACGGCTTGTTCCGACGCCGCGCGGGTGCCCGCTCGCGGTCGCGACCAAAAAAGTACCCCCATCAGCCATTTCAAAAACCCTGCTCGTCAGAGCTGACGGGAAAAAATCAACAATGCACATCTAGGGAAACAGCGCGAGCAAGGGGGTGGCATTGGAAGGCCTCTTCGGGCCATCTTTGGGCGCCGCGTGGGAGCGAGGGGAAGAGGGGGAGGTGGAGGGGCATGACGAGGAGGACGAGGACAGATGACAACGAGGAAGACGAGGGCTAGGATGAGGACGACGCGGGCGAGCACTCATGAAACCATCTAGAAGTATTATTGCGGCTGCTGCTGCTGCTGGTGTTCTCTGGGAGTTTTTTTTTTGGGGGCCCTAGTGGAACCCTTTTGGTAACCTTGGAAGTCGTCTTAGGATCGTCTTGGAGGCCATCGATTGCAGGATGGGAGGGCTCCCCAACTCAGTTCCCCCTTTTCAGGAGTCGGCAGAACCGCTTCTTGGGGCTCTTTTGGAGCGCTCTTGGGGCGGTTTCGAGGAAGTTTGGAGAATCTTGGGGGCCATATTGAGCCAGCCTGGGTTACCTGAGCCATCTTGGAGGTCATCTTGGGCTCTCTGAGGCCGCTCGGGGGCCTCTTGGGGGCCTCTCGGGTGCCTTTTCGGGACCCTTTTTGGGACCCTCGTGGGGCCCTCTTGAGGCTCTCTTTGCGCTCTCTTGGGAGCCCTGGGGCGCCTCTTTGGGCCATCATCGAGGCGATCGATCAAAGGAGGTAGGGTCCCGATTCTCGTGAGGGGTCGAGAAAAGGACCCTCCAACCGATAGGGGCCCCTCCCGTCCAGGTTCAGGGTCGGGGGAAGGGTAAACCCCTCCCCGAAGAGGAAACGAGTTTTTTGCAGAAGAAAGAAAGACATCGTTAGACCACCTGCGCCCAGAGGGCTGGTAGGATTTAGCATAGCGGAACACCAACACCACTCACACACGATGTAACATGTTCTAAACATACCCGAACCCTGTAACATCATATAGCCGAACTTCGGAACATCGAACACATCATTATCTGATACACCATGTGGCGCAGTGGCTTATAAAGAAACGAATGGTGCATTCGACCACCGCTTTTGTTCTACACCACTTGCTCCGTCCAGTTCTTCTGTGTTTGCACATTGCTGCGCTCGCACCATTTGGAATCAACGTCGAAGGTTGCGGTGGGGATCGTTCGAAAGAATATTTTGTTTTAGGTCCGCGCCCTTGCATTCACGCAGTATTCTGGAGGTCTGGGCGTGGGAACTCCGTGGGCCTGCTTTCAGAGGCCGTCGGTGACACCATGAGACCGACTACGACGGCGACGTCGACCAGTTGATTTCAGAGTTTTTTGGCGTGTTGGTAGGCCCTCGTCGCCACGGCTACGCACAGCTCGGCTATTTGGCTGGTCGTGGGGTAATGCGCATTTGTATATCTCGTCGTGGAGCATGGGTGGCAGCGGACACAGAGGATGGATCGCCAAGCGGGAGATTAGGGTGCTTGCTTTCGGGGCTCAAGAGACGGCGGTCCATGCAAACGGGTGTCAGTCAGAGCGCAGGCTCTTGCAGGATCTTGCAGGGTCAGGGGTGCGTTGTCCTGGGCTTGGGTGCAGGATCTTGCAAGATCTTGCAACGTCTGACTGGCCCGGGTCTGGATTGACCCAGGTCAGTTGATTTTCCGAGTTATGAGAAATCGACCAGGCTTCGATCCAAGGTTGTAGTTTGTGTCGCATTGCATGCGCCGCAGGCGCCGCAGAAGTGCATTTCGTGGATCGGGATTGGAGCTACGTGGCAAAAAAAGGCGCATGCGCAGCAGATTGTTGAGGCAAGCGTTTCTAGCCATAGGATGCAGTATTCGCAGTAGTAACTACTCCAGTTCATGCCCAATGGATCACATGACAGAGGTCAGCCAGCCACATTTTGTGATGCAGACCCAGTGCGCATTGCCAGACTACCACTCTGCATGCATAATTACTCGTTGCCCACGCTCTATGAGAGACATGCGCTAGAACAAAGGTCCCGTTGGGCTTCTTTTTGCGCTTCTTCCGCACCACCTTGGCGACGAATCTGGTCAAGTTTCCGTTCTTTGAGGCGGGCTGGGAAAGGATCATCGCTTGCGCGCATGTTGCCGTCGTGTTGCGATGACGTTCGAAAGAAACACGTGAATCGACATAGTGATGTCCTCAGCAGAACGTCTGACTGATTTGCTACGCTCATGGCACGATGTCACATCTTGCAGTTACAGTTGTGTTTGAGATCTCGCCACCTTGCATGCGCCACGACGTCTGGGTATGTGATCAGACGACAGGGGGGGATTTGAAGTGAGAGTGGCGCTGAAGGTTGTGCACTGATGGCGGGGGCAGCGGCATTGTTGCAGTTGGCCAGCGGAACGTGCTCGCCGTCCGAAGTAAGTACAGTCAAGACGCTGGCGTAAGAGCCACTTCCGGCTCAGGAGGGGCTCTGGTCTTGGGGCCGTTCCGTAGACCTTGGCCGGGGAGCCTATTCGAAGTCGAGGCCCGTCGTGACCAGAAGAGCGCCATCGGTCTTTACCCAGTCACCCCTGTGGTAGCAAGATGACGGTGGGAGAACGGGCGCAGACACAGTGCACTCAAGATTGACTGCATCTCCGTCCCAGGCTGTGCTGACGATCACTGCTGCGCTGGAGTTCCTGCCGACAGTCCTCAGAGGCGCGCGCCCGTACAGACCTGCGCTCCCACTTGCGGCGGGGGGTGCTCCGCTGCCACTGGCAGCCTCCTCCTGTCTCGCCCTCCTGTGCCGAAGATCGGGCACGTCACGGGTCTGCTCAGCTGCAAGGCGTGCCGTTATGTCAAAGACGCGGTAAATGACCACCAGCACCAATATCGGCAACGCGCGATTCGTGTCGGTGCAGCTCGGCTTTTGTGGGAGACCTGCCGTCGCAGCTTCGCAGCCAAAGGCAACAGGGCCTTCCCCTCGCGCCCATCGCCTGGCGCTGCGCTAACTCTGAAAATCAGTGCAAGCAGTTTCCCCAACTGGACAGGCTGGGTGTGTGAGATTCGACTACAAGAATTCCAGTCAGCCCACCCTGCATACCGTGGTTGCCAGGCCCCACAACAAATCCGGGTGGTCTCTGAGCATCCTGCCTCGCGTCCTCGACGAGTCACGACACCATACCGCGGTCGCCAGACCCCTCAGGATGCCTGTGGTCCTTGAGTATCCCGCCTCGTGACGGCCCGGAGGGGGAGGCGTTACGGCATCACGCCGGCCACGCGCCACGACGCATGAGCGATTAGGCATGGAGAGTTGACATCAAACACACCAAACACACGCAGCAACAGTTGCACAGTACTTATGACAAACCTACAGCGTCATAACTGAGCAAAGCAGAGCACATTCGACACCACAGTATACTAACCGGTGGCCGCATAAAGCAATATCATGTGGTAGAAGAGAACGCACCATAAGTTAACATGGCCTTTTGCAACAACCTAACATTACATGGTACACCATAGCATAGCATAGCACCCAATACGATGCCATAGCATGCCATGTAGATCGTAAGCGATCACACCATGACATGTCATACATCTAATATTAATGCTACCGCTACGGCAACGAGTAGAGTCGACTGCATCATACAAAGGATATACCATACGTGCAGAGGACTACCGTAACATAACGCACACTGCGTACTACAATGGGCAGCTTTTTTTTCAGAACACCACAGCTTACCGTATCACAGAAGAGCATACCATGACATAGCATAGCATACCATAACATCTACCCTATGACATATTTTATTATAGCATAACACCTAGACTGTGAAATAACGAGGTAACACATAGTCAAGCAGAACAGACATAACATAGTTTGCCGTACTTTTTCTACGGCTGGTATCGCTAAGGCAATGAGGTCATACCGGAATGGTAGAATGCCAGCTAGCTGGAAGTTGTTGCCATAAGAAAGCAGGGACAAAGGCTCTTGCACTGAGCCTATCAGGCCATGACGCAGCAAACCATTCCATGACACATCAAATCTGGATCAATCATTACATACCAGTTCATCACATACCGCAGCATCACCAAACACATCGCACCATATCCTAACACATTCCAATGCGTCACATTGGAAACAACGGATCAGACCATAACATTGCAGATCATACAGACTGTGTTGCGATTGCTAACGCTACGGTGCGATTCTACTATAACTTACTAGGGTACACCATACATCATAACCACCTCGGATCATACCAGAGCATACCGCAATTCATCGCACTGCAACAAACGCGCGTGTTATAGCAGCACAGGGTAGAGCGGTAGGGCGCCGCATGCGTACAGCGTACAGATGAATTCGGATCACAATGAGAGAGTGGGCATTCGATGTGCCTGTAATCTATAATAACACGTCGTAGCACTGCTACACACGGACATCGTAATTGTAGCGTACTAACAGATCTCGGACGTGAAAGTGATGCAGGGCAGCACCCATGGAACGCACGCACATAGCCATAGCTCCTTTCAGCATATCAGAACAGACAAGATTGCAACTACGAGTTGCGCTTTCACACTACAATCGAATATCAGGTGCAGGCTAGACTTCGGGGACGCTTAAGCAGACCACATACCAACACAACATACCACTGCTATATTCCCCAATAAGTGCTTGCACTGTAGGGGTCCTCGCGGATGTTGAAGGATTTGGCGGAAGTTTCCCGCCGATTTAAGTTGCTGGCTGGGCTGAGGGGGGTTCCCGATTCTGGGCACCCGGGTTCCCAGCTTTGGGTTCCGGGCCGATTTCGGAGGGCGGCGAGGTTCTTGGGTTCCCGGGTTATTGGTCGATTTCTTTATCGATCGGTCTCACCATCGATCTCATTACTCGCTTCTCGATCGATCTCACCATCGATCTCACAATCGATCTCATCATCGATCTCACAAACGATCTCACCAGATATCGCATGAGCGATCTCGCGATCGATCTCACTATCGATCTCATTGAACCGAGATCTCATTGTATCGATTTCTTTCTCGGTTCCACCATTGACTTGACAACCGTTCTCACTATCGATTCCACGATCGATCGCACTATCGATCTCACAATCGATCTCAAGATCCATCGTCTTGATTTCCAAATCATCCATTGATTGGGTTTTCTCGGGTGTAGTATACTTATAGGTGTAAACATTTGCCAATCAGCGCTTGCACTGAAGGGGTCCCAGCGGAGGTTGAAAGATTTGGCGACAGTTTCCTGCCGATTTCGGTCGCAGGCTGGGTTCCCGGGTTCCTGGGTTCCCGGTTATTGGTTCTGGGTCGATTTCGGTGGGTTCTGGGTTCTTGGGCTCCCGGTTTCCCGGTCGAACTTTTCAGCGAGAACCATCCAATGATTTGGTTTTTTATATAATACAACAGCCGCATGACTGGATACAGTCGTGTAGTGTTTGAAGTAAGCGGGTTCAACACATCACAACAGCGAAAGAGAGACCCGCACATCGTAAGATAGGATCCCGCAGTTGGACATCGGTAGCCAGACCTATGCAAGTCGTTCAGAATCAGACGTGATTGGGTTCACCAGAAAATTACACCAGAAAGAAACTCCAATCAGTGGATGGTTTTTGCTGAGGAGATCGACCGGGGACCCGGGAGCCCAGGAACCCAAATCCCACCGAAATCGACCCAGAACCAATAACCGGGAACCCGGAACTGGGAACCCGGGACCCAGCCTGCTACCAACATTGGCGGGAGACTTTCAGTAAATATTTCATTTTCCGCGAGGACCCCTTTAGTGCAAGCTCTGATTTGGGAATGGAGTCGCATAGATCAGTATATTACACCGGAGGAAACCCAATCAATGGATGCTTTGAAAATTAATACGGTCGCTTGCGAGATCGATAATGCGATCGATAGGGGAGTCGGTCGTGAGGACGACTCTCCGGTGGATTGTGAAACCGAGAATGGAATCGATTCAGTGAGATCGATCGTGAGAGCGATCGTGAGATCGCTCACGCGATATGTAGTGTGATCGCTTGTGAGATCGATAGTGAGATCGATTGTGCGACCGATCGTGATATCGAAGAAGAAGTTGGTCGGGATCTTGAGTGATCCGGACGCCATGAATTCGTAGCATACCCGCACGCCCTTTCGTTCGAGCTGCGTTGGAGGAAAAAAAGGAGCCCCAAGATACGCTTTCTCCACGCATCCGCGTAATTTCCGCCATGGTAGTGGTGAGCGTGGTTATGCGGTGAACTGCGCGGACCAGATCCACGGGAAGACTGAGGACGCGCGTTGCCCATGGCAGCGGCGCCCAGAGAGCAGCTGGTGGATTGCAGAGGCGACATCAAGTTGCCAGAGTTCAGTGGCAGAGATGGGGACTGGTCCAGCTGGTCCATCAAAGCCCACGCGTTTTTCGCGCTGATGGGCTAGGATGACCTCATCGATGACGTTGAGGCCCAGCCAGCGCTCGCGGTGGACAACGTCAGCATGGGCGAGCGCACGGCAGCGACGAGCAAGCTGCTGCATGCCATGCTGATCACCAAGGCCCAGCGCAAGGCGCTGGCGATGGTTACGCTCGCAGGCAGGCGCGAGGGTTTCGTCGCCTGGCGGGCGATCAAGAACGAGTGCGAGCCTGGGGTGGCCAACAGGTTCGCGGCCATGCTCAGCGGCCTGCTCAACCCCAGGTGGGACGACCAGAAGCCGTTCGCTGACCAGCTCGTTGACTGGGACAACGACGTGGCGAGGTGCGTCATGCAGGCGGGGAAGGACTTCGGCGACGGGTTCCGCATCGCCACGCTGCTCGTCCACAGCCCCGAGCCGTACAAGACCGTGCTGCGCAACGCTTCGACGGCCGCCAAGGTCTCGCACATGGCGCTGAGGGCCCAGCTGAGAGAGTGGATGGTGACGGGGCAGGTCTTCGCAGCTAGCGGCGCGGTGGGTCAAGGCGCGGCGCCGATGGAGATCGGAGCGACCTCGGGCCATGCTCTACCGCGACAGCCTAGGCCCAAGCGCAAGGGCGACAAGTCGGGAGGCGGCAAGGGCGACAAGATGAGCGGCAAGGGCGACAAGGGCGGAAAGGGCAGCGAGAAGGGAGTCAATACTGACAAGCTCAAGGGCAGCTA